TCCCAACATACCAGATGATCCAAAGACCAGTAACAACATATCAGATGTTCCAGTGGCACCAGCTTCCGCTATGACAGTAAGACGATCAAAACGGACACATAAACCCGTCGATAGACTTAACTTATGAAACTCACTAAGGGGAGGTGTTACATCCTAAATGTCTACCTTTACTTATTGCTTATTTATTCTATAACTATTAGTCCAAGCAAACTAAAAAAAACTTACACAGGGATCTTTAAAAAATTGCAATAAAACGTTTTATGGTTTTATTTTGTAGTGTTGGGGTTGCAGAACGACATACCGTACTAAAAGTTGCCAAAAATCGGTGCACGAGAAAACCACTAAAATCACGATTTAAAATGGCGGGTTTTCCCAACATTGGACAAATAAAAAAAAATATTTCACATGCATTTGTTATGCACATTTTTTGAGATATTGACTAGTGTTGTGACACATCATTACAAACTACATTTTTACTCTAACTTCAATGCTGAAATCAGTTTTTTAATATCTTTTTTCATTTAGAAGATATACTCAAACGGAAACCCTCCCCCCATACATTTCTTATGGACGTTTCGTGGTTTGATAATAAAATTTTTTTTTCTCCAGTTCTTATTAACGCTTGCAGTTCGTTTTAGGCTTAAAATATTCAGTAATCTAAGGGCTTTCATTTGAGCTCATGAGCATTAAAATCAGACGAGTTAAAGACCATCTACAAATCCCAACACAATATTGAATTTAACTTTTTAGAAATTAGTTTTTATTTAAAGATTTATATCTCGGGTTGTTAAGGCGTCACCACGTTATTTATGGTATTTAATTACTTAGCAAATGTTCGGCTTTAATTTTATTAATCACTAAATAAAATCTGGCAAATCTGAAGTGAGTCCTGGACCTTCATTTAACATTAAATTAGTTTTATTTAGAAATTTGTCTTCAGTTTAAGACATATATCCCCAATTAATTATAAATAACTACCAATAAGTAATCTTTAGCCAAAATAAAAGTCAATAATTTGATGAATTATTTATGACTATAAGAGTTTTGGGAGTTATTTAGAATTGGGAATATACGTCTTTAACTAAATACAAAGTTCGTAATGTACACATTTTAATGTTAAATTAAGGTCCATGACTCATTTTTAAATTGTCATATTTTGGTTAATGATTAATAAAATCAAAGCCAAACATTTACTGAGTAATTTCAGACCAGAAAGAACTTGGTGACGTATTACCAACCCAAGTTATAAATCTTTTAATAAAAATATATTTCTAAAAAGTTAAATTTAATATTGTTCTGAGGTTCATAGCTGGACTTTAACTCATCTGATTTTAATGCTCAAGAGCTTAAATGAAAGCTCTTACATTACTGAATATTTTAAGCCTAGAACGAACCGCAAGCATTAATAAGAACTGGAGATATAAGAAAAATAGTTTTAAAAAAATTATCAAACTACGAAACGTCCATAAGAAATGTATGGGGGAGAGTTTTCGTTTGAGTATATCTTCTAAATTAAAAAATATATTGAAAAATGAATTTCGGCATTGAAATCAGTGTAAAAATGTAGTTTGTAATGATGTGTCACAACACTATCATTACATTGAAAAGAATGATGTATGTCCAATATGGCGGATCCAAGATGGCGGCCAAAAACGTGTTCCCTATTAAAATGAACTACTAACCACCCAATAAATACAGGTGGTGGTCCCAAGTCAATATCTCGAAAAATGTGCATAACAAATGCATGTGAAATATTTTTTTTTTATTTGTCCAATGTTGGGAAAAGCCGCCATTTTAAATTGTGATTTTAGTGGTTTTCTCGTGCACCGATTTTTGGCAACTTTTAGTATGTCATTCTGCAAACCCAACACTACAAAATAAAACCATAAAACGTTTTCTTGAAATTTTTTTAAGGTCATATCCTATATTTCTCTGACTATATTATCAGCTGGTTATAGAGTGAAAATTTAAAAACGTACGTTTTCATGTCCCTGGCCTTTTACTTCGTAGATACTGGATTTGTAGTTTATTATTATGTGTTTTAATATTTTTTGGGACGGGGGCAACATGTTACACACATTTATTTGGTTTTAAATAGGTTCTAGGTATTTTTTTCGTATTTTTAAAGTCTCGAAATTCACGACCATGACGTGTCCCTAGGGTACATTTTCCAACTTTCACGCTGTTTTTAGACTAATTATTCATGCCGAAATATATAAAGCCATATTTTTATGTCATCAATGGTTATTAAACTTACAAAAAAGGAGCATATTATAATTTTATTGTCATTGCAAACTGACTACCATGACAAAATAAGTCTGTCCCTCGATTTGGCGTCACGACCATTTGGGAAAAATTTTCAACTTTGGGGCACGACAGTGGCAAGCCTGGCGTCGATGGAGTCAGTTGGTTTTAGAGACTAGTTCGGGGTGTACGTCAGGATTGTAGTGCCGGTCGTTTCGAGTTGAAAGGAGGAATTACAAGATTAATAAAGGAAAGATTGTGTTTTTTGTAATTTTGGTGTGTCCATGACCGTACGTAGTCATTCGATGAAGTAGACATGGTGTTATTTTTTGTTTATAAGATATTTCAATTGCTAGATTAACCTAGAAGTTCACTTTGTATCCTCGAACATGAGGTGCAGGGTTACCGCCAGAACAGAGCCAAATAACACGTAATTTCACGACCAAAGTTTCACGACCATCGCGGTTTTTTTCACGACCAATCCAGCCTTATGGATTATAGTGTGTTTGGTCATGACAATAACTTTAATATAATTGTAAATTGAACAGTTTAGTTCAATTGAAACACATAATTTTATTATATCTAACAGTATAATTGAAGGATTGTTTAGAAAGATTTAGATTATTCCAGACAATTCACGACCGTACCGCTTGTCCCTGACCATCACGTTTATGATTTCTATCATAAAAAATTCAAAAATTAAAATATCGTCATATTTTAATGTTTTATACACAAAAGAAGCACACCTCTATACAAACATAACGATTTTTCGGGTCTCTGGTAAGTTTTTTCGGAGTTATACAAACTTAAAAAGATTTTATTGGCTTTTTTCAATTTTTTGAGTTTTTTTCTTTTTTTCTAGAAAGACCAAATATACCAAAAGCTCATTGACCTTTTTATTGTATAATGGTCATAAAAGTAAATTAGTTTATAGCAAAACATAGTTATAAAAATAATATTAACTATTTTTAATATTCATTTAAACGTCCGTTATGGTCGTGACAGGATTTTGTGTTTTTCCACTAAAGATGCTCTTTAAAAAAAAAACTACCAAAGATATTGCGTTACCATGGACATTTTATAAAACTTCAATTGTAAAAAAAATAAAAAAAATAATAAAAGTTTTGAAAAAAGGGGAAAAAAATTTGCAAAGTGCTTTTCCTGAAAACGTACGTTTTTAAATTTTCACTCTATAATGTTTACTTGTTCACTTTGTTTTTAATTTGTGTTGAATAAAGTTGGTTAAAATAAATTGTACTTTGACAATTACATTTATTATTTGTTCTAACTACATACAGAACAATGTTGAATTGAGTTACGGTAGCAGACAGACGTTTGTTAATGAAAACAATGACTCCGTCATTCCTGTTGTTCTGTGTACCTATCATTGTTAAGTCAAACCCGTCCAAGTGACCCACCTCCCCCTGCTCAACCAACACTCTGATAAGACTATGATATCTAGATTAACATTCAAAGATTGTAAATAAACCGATAAATCGTCAAAGTTTTTTGAGAAACTTCTGATATTTGTGTGAAATATTTTAAGAGAATTATTTAAGGGAATTTCATTGAAAAAATCATCACATTCAAACCCTTTATCCAGCTCCAAGCAAGAATTGTTTGCAAAAAGTGTGTTTTCATCTCAGTTGTGAATCATCGTCCCGCATCCTCCCCCTGCCCGTGCCCGTAGCACCTTATAAAAAATGTCCTAACAGAAAAAATTAAATTCTCATAAAATAAATAAAAATATTCTTTATACCATGCAAAGAGTATGCCGTTGAAAAATTGAATGAAATGAGCTACAGTATCTATAATATTGTTGAGAATGTAATGATTTCATAAATTACATGCAATAAATTATGATGTCTTAAATACACTCATGCAGTTTAATAAATTAAGATATTATGTATCAGTCAGAACAATCATGACAACAAAAGCTATATTTAATAAAACATTATTCAATTCTTGGAGATGTTGAGGTTCGATCTTAATTTCTTTTCCCTAAAGATTAATTTGAATTAATCTATTTAATTTTATTGACTATCCATACAGATAATCGAGACAGAACCTCTCCATGTCGCCCTAATTAAAGGGTGCACGGAACTTTTTTTACATTACTTTTCATTACTTTTTTTCACCTTGATAACACACGCACGTTGCTCAGGTAAATATTGCTCTATGGCTACAGATAATGGTATTGAATAGGCTTTCCAACGAGCCTACTCCCACCCCCCTCAGACAGTATGCTGTAGAAAATAGATTGTTTTTTCCACACCCTGTAGATGGATATAGATAGATAATTAACCTGTTATAAGTTAGGTGTTTATGAATATATTTCAATTGAATTTGTTTACTTCATACTAAAATATAATTTAAAAAAACACTCCTTATTACCTTCCCTGTGGCAGCAAACCTAAGTATTCATTAAAATTAATGTTATTTCAATAGGAAATCAATCTAAAAATACAATTTTAAGGGCATTTTCTTTTTCTTGCTAAGTCTGTAGGTTTGCTCTGGCAGGGGTATATTCTACTTGTGTTCTAAAGACTATCTTTACGCGATCGTTGTGTAAAATACTAAATGCACAGAGGCTTAAAAGTAAGTAAAAAAAAAAATAGTAAGTTTTTTAATGCAAATTTAAGAAAGAGAAATTTGATTGCATTCATTTTAAAAAGAATCTTTTTAAGTAATTTTGTTGTGCTAAGCAACATTAAAAACAGATAATTTAACATTAGTAAACTGTATACTGTACTCACCTTGATGCACCTAGATTTAACAGCCATGGTGTCCCAAGTGTTGGTCCTGATGACCTCAGCAAGTCTCTGACAGTCCCTACACTCAGCCTCCAGTAACCGCCTAGTCTTGTCTCTCTCAGCCGCTGCGTCAGCAAGCAGCGCCTCCCTGGCCTCAGTGTCCAAGTCAAACTCTAGAATATCCAGCTGCTCCTCTGGTGTGGCCCTCAAGTTGTCATCCAACAACTGCACCACCTATAAAATACAACACATCACTGTACTGCAAGATGCGCCTCCCTGGCCTCAGTGTCCAAGTCAAACTCTAGAATATCCAGCTGCTCCTCTGGTGCGGCCCTCAAGTTTTCATCCAACAACTGCACCACCTATCAAATACAACACATCACTGTACTGCAAGATGTGCCTCCCTGGCCTCAGTGTCCAAGTCAAACTCTAGAATATCCAGCTGCTCCTCTGGTGCGGCCCTCAAGTTGTCATCCAACAACTGCACCACCTATCAAATACAACACATCACTGTACTGCAAGATGCGCCTCCCTGGCCTCAGTGTCCAAGTCAAACTCTAGAATATCCAGCTGCTCCTCTGGTGTGGCCCTCAAGTTGTCATCCAACAACTGCACCACCTATCAAATACAACACATCACTGTACTGCAAGATGCGCATCCCTGGCCTCAGTGTCCAAGTCAAACTCTAGAATATCCAGCTGCTCCTCTGGTGCGGCCCTCAAGTTTTCATCCAACAACTGCACCACCTATCAAATACAACACATCACTGTACTGCAAGATGCGCCTCCCTGGCCTCAGTGTCCAAGTCAAACTCTAGAATATCCAGCTGCTCCTCTGGTGCTGGTGCTCTGGTGTGGCCCTCAAGTTTTCATCCAACAACTGCACCACCTATCAAATACAACACATCACTGTACTGCAAGATGCGCCTCCCTTGCCTCAGTGTCCAGCTCAATTCCTCAAGTTGTCATCCAACAACTGCACCACCTAACATACACAACACATCATCGTACTGCCCTCAGCGTAAACCTTGTACAACACATCACTGTTCTGAATGCAGCGCCTCCCATACACAACACATTACTGTACTACTAGCAGTAGGGAAATCTACAATTTTAAATATATTTTTAGAATGCATATCTGTCACAAATAAAATTTTCCAATTACTGGTTATAAAGGGTGTCCCACCAAAAGTGAACCAATAGCTAACTTTTTACTTTCTCCCCCTATACCATGGTACCGTGGTATATGGAGAAAGTACTGTTTTCATCAAAATTTTCTAAATTGAGTTTTGAGTTGATATATCCGTTTTGGGTCCCCCTGAACCCAAAAAAGTGGTTTTCGAAGTGATGTCTGTGTGTGTGTGTGTGTGTGTGTGTGCGTGTGTGTGTGTGCGTGTGGGGGTGGGTACAGAGCTACAGACTACAAATATCGTCCAATTTTGATGAAATTTGGTACTTATCCATTATATCCCCAGGCATTTTTTTCATTTTTTAAAAATTTTTACTTTGAATGGTAATTTTCCCATACAAACCATAAAAAAAAACAGAAAAATAAGATGTTCTCAAAAACAGCCTGAACAATTTTGATAAAAATTTAGTATGTTATAGTCCTTTAAATTCTGAACAACATGGTACTAACTCCATTTCCGCTAAAATTACGGTTCCAATGTTATTGTAACTTATGTTATTTTCCCATAAAAACCTCATTTAAAAAAATTGGATTTTAGAAAAAAAGCCGGGTTTTGATTAAAATTTGTATGTTATGGTCCTTAAAATGTTTAATAAAATGGTACAGATCCAATTTTTGTAAAAAGTATGGTTCAAAATTTATTGTAAATTACCTATGTTATTTCCCATAAAATAACAAAATATTGGATTTAGGAAAAAAGCCGGTTTTTATTAAAATTAATTTGTTATGGTCCTTATAATTCTAAAAAAAATAGTACAACCCCCATTGCTGTAACAAATACAGTTCATAAGTTATTGCAACTTTTGTGATTTATCCCTATAGAATATCATAGTTTCTCCCACCGCTTACACATGGTAAAGGTTGTTTACAAGCTTATGGGAGAAAGTATGTGTCAGTTTGCTGATACCATTTATTTATTATGAGATATAGAGTTAACTTCTTATGGGACACTCCTCTTTATTTTTCAAGATGTTATTTGGATTGGTTTCAAATTTTAAATATATGCTGACAACTATGTTTTTTTTTTAAACACCCTATATTTTATGATTTTTTTAGAATATAAATGAATTTTTAAAACGTTTTTATTCTTGACAACTTTTCTTTAAAGCTACTCGTTTTAGAGTCACAGCGTGTTGCACCTAAGAAAAAAAGGCTTTAAGTGGTGTATATTCTGCATCCTTTTGCTCCTAAACGAGCAAGTGTAGAGGGTAAATGCAAAGAATAAAAAAGTCTTAAAAAGGCATATACATTATAAAAAGACCATAAAATACCGAGTGCTCTCATATTAAAAATTAGCTGCAATTCAATATTTAAGATTTTTTTTTGAATGTAGATGCGATTTTAAGACTTGTTTATTCTTCATGCCTCAGCAGGAACGCGGCAAGAACTTCAAAGTCTGAAGTGGGAAATCTTGATACATCCTCTTTTACAGCCCTGACCTAGCACCTAGTGATTTTCATAGTTTCTAGAGTTGAAGGAATATTTGGGGTGGTAAACAGTTTGGAAATGACGATTTTAATAGAAGCAGTGATAATATGGCCCAGATCTTTCGCAGCTGATGAGTATAACATCGGAATAGAGAAACTGGTCTCATGTTACAACAATTCTCGACAACAATGGGGACTAGAAAAGTAGTATAAAATACTGTGGCTGTGTAAATAAAGTTTGGTGTTGATATGTTTTTATTTAACCAAGCTAGAACGTTCTTTACTTCTTGGACGACCCTTGTATATAGAAAAAGCATTGTTTTTTCCCAAGATTTTTGAGTTGGAGTTTTGGGTGGAAATGTCAATTTTTTTTACCCTCTTAACAAAAAAAGTTTTTGTAATGATGTGTGTGTGTGTGTATGTGTGTGTGGATGTATACAGAGCTCAAACTACTGCTATAGTTGACATTTGGTAATTGGTATTTTAGTATTTGGTACCCATGGTATTTTTCAGACAAATTTTTTTTATATTTTAATTGTTAATGATGATTTACCATAAAATCTAAAATATTATTATCATTTCAACTGCTCTAACGATTTTAATCACAATTATGTATGTTATAGTTTTTTTTTCACCTTGAAAAAGTTGCATAACCCCTCAATACTGTACATTTTACGGTTCCACCGTTTTTTGTGATTTTCCCAATAAAAATTAAAGTAACTCTCACCGCTTACCCATTTTACTTTCATAAAAGTCGTAGGGTGTTAATTTTAACCCTTAGAGTGCCAGGCGAGAAATAAAAGTAACGCTCAAAAAATGCCGATGATTTTTCCCGAAGGTCGCGCTAAAAATGCCGAGCGCGATCTGGCGATTTTTAGGTTAAAATTTCGTAAAAATCGAATTTTCGATATTTCGACCAACGAAAATCAATGTATCGCATCTAGTAACTTTCGACTCAATGTTAATATATGGGTTAAAAGAATCCGAGTATCTATTCGGTTGTTATGACAACTGTTCGATCATTACGAAACGTCCGGTCAGCCGGACGTTGGCACTTTTGGCTCGTTCTAAAAACGTCCGGTCGGCCGGACTTCGGCACTTTTGGCTCGTTTTAAAAACGTCCGGTTCCCCGGACGTTGGCACTCAAAGGTAATCGTCATGCTAATGGGACAGAGTGTGTCAGTTTGCTCTTTACTGACAGCCTTTATTATGGTTAGTTATTTTCATTACTTTTATTTAAGTTGATTTCATTTCATATCCTACTGTCTTAACTTTTTTTATTAATTATTTCAAACAGCATATAGTACACAGCGTATAGTAGTATAGCATTTGGGAAACCTGGTATTTTTCTAACAATGACCTACAATCCGAATTGGCCAGAGATCTAGTCATCTCTAACGGCTAACGAAACCCCGGCGGATCGACCTGACATTGTTTCTAGAGTGTTCATAGGCAAACTTAATGAATTGAAAAGAGATTTTTAGTATCTATATATTTATTTGAAACTGTTTTTCTTTGTCACAGCTATTTTGAGAGAACGGCTGGGCGTAGAAACTCGGTAGAGGTGTCTAAAGAAAGGTCTTGGTCTGTAGATGAGCCATCAAAAGAGAAACATGGTGAATTCCCTTGGGGCTCTGCCCCAGTGGCCTTTGAATTCCCATCCCATGTTATTCTTATGGAGAAAAACGGGGTTTTTGTCACAGCTAATTTGAGAGAACGGCTGGGCGTAGAAACTTGGTAGGGGTCTCTAAAGAAAGGTCTAGGTCTGTAGATGAGCCATCAAAAGAGGAACTAGGTCAATTCCCTTGGGACTCTGCCCCAGAAGCCTTAACCCTTTTAACCCCAGCGTCCGATATATCGGACGTAAGGTGTTTTGCGAAAATCCCCGACGTCCGATATATCGGACGTCTGTTATTTCATCATTTACTGACCACCTAGCAATCCAAACGCCTTCGAATTCGGGGTAACGCCTTTCGACGAATTGGACTACACATAGAAGTGTAGTTTGTCGTGATTTCACAAGATTTTCGTACTCTGTGTACTGTCGCTATTGGCTGTCGTCAGCTGTCGTATTGCCGGCCGGCGCCAGGTTCTGTTTATCTGTTTGTTTACGTTGTCGTCTGTATCGTGTAACCTCAGTGAATGTTTCCAACTTTATTTCGTGTTTCATTTCGCGAAATTTAGTGTTAATCTTTTGAAAATGAACAAAAGAAAAAGAGAGAAATCTCCTGTTAGTGAAAATTCGCTGCTCAGGAATCTTCGTGGGGTGGAAAACGTCGAAGTAAACGATGATGAGTTGAGTGATTCTTTTGTTGACAATATTGAAAGTTCCGATTCTGATAATGAATCAAGTTCTTCCGAAAATGAAACTCACAGTGATAGTGAGGATATTTTTGGGGATGATACGGATGAAGATCCAAACTTCGATCCATCCACAGTTATGTCTGAAGAATCTTCAGAAGACGAAGTCCAATCAACATCAAAGGGCAAGACTCTAGGTAGGCCTAGGTTTATGAAACTGACCTCAGTTGTTGAACACAACAAAAATATAGTTATAGATGAGGTTTTACAGTCTCAAAATGTAAATGATACAAATGTTGACGAGGACCAGGCCTCAAATGAAAATACAGTTCTTGGTCATGAAGGCCTAGGTCAAGGTTTATCAGGGCCAAATGAAAATCTTTCGGAACCCATAGGCCCATCAGCTGACAATAATTTAGTCAATAATTCAAACAATATCGAACCTCCCCAGATTGAAAGTCAGAGGCCTATACCTAGTGTAACAAATGATGTAGGCCTAGGCCTAGAAAATGTTGATCGCATTATAAATGATGTCATACAAGGCCTATTTGATCACAACATACCAGAACAACTCATAGAAAATGGAATTCCCCCAAATGAGAATCCTCTAGAGCCTGAGCCCACTGAAAATGTGATAAAATGGACTCAGGTTGATGACGATAACGATCCTGGTTACGACCACAACTTTACGTACAATGAGATCCCTGGTCCAAAACATGTACCAAATTCAGACGCCAAGCCTATTGAATATTTCAATTTATTTTTCACTGTTGGACTGCTGAGCACATTTGTGCTGCGGACAAATCAGTACGCAAATCAGTACATAAATTCACTAGCCAACATGTCGCCTCACTCGAGTGCTCGTAACTGGAAGCCAGTAAATCTGACCGAAATGAAAGGGTTCATAGCAGTTATTTTGAACATGGGCATTATCAGAAAACCAACAATAAGGAGTTATTGGTCCACATGTACGTCTCAAGCAACCCCTTGGTTCCGTGAAATGTTTAGCCGGAACCGCTTTGAAAGCCTTTTGCAGTTCTTCCATGTTGCCGATAATAGAACTCTTCCGAAGCCTAACGAACCAAATTACAATCCCTGTGGTAAATTTTTACCAGTAATGGAGCATGCAAATCGTGTATTTCGAACCTACTACACACCGCATCGTGAACTTTCTGTAGATGAAAGCCTTGTAGGCACAAAAAGTCATTCAAAAATCCTACAGTACTTACCCAACAAACACCACCATAAATGGGGGATAAAATTGTGGATGTTATGTGATTCTGTGACAAAGTACTGCTTAGCCTTTGATTGTTATAAAGGTTCTAAAAGTAATGATGGAAAAAAAGAACATGGTCTGGCTTACAAAGTTGTGAAAAATTTACTTTTGATTTGTCAGTATTTGAATAAAGGTTACCACATATTCCTGGATAATTTTTTTGTGAGTCTACCGTTAGCTGAATATCTGTACAGTAAATGTACCTTCTTGACTGGCACAGTGCGAAGAAACAGAAAAGGGATTCCAGAAGAAATCAAAGAAAACCTAGATGTAGGGGAAAAGAAGTATGTGCGAAATGGGCCTAATTTATTTTTATCCTACCGTGAAAAGAAGAGCCAGAAAAAACCAGTGATTTTGTTGTCAACTAAGGGAACTGCAAAATCTGTCGAAAAAGTGAAGAGAAGAGGCAATGAAAATGTTATAAAAACAAAACCAGAACTTATCAACACCT